ACTTTTGAACGGAAATGTTTTTTTTTTTAAACGCAACAAGATTTAACACAAAAGTTTTTGTCTGTCAAAAAATTATTGGAGACGATGGATTCTCAAGTCCAACAAAATTATGCACATTAAGCATGTAAATTCAATAATTTCTGACTTCATGTTGACTTTACGTATTGAAATAAAAATCTTCTGTAAAAAAAGTCTTCAAAAATGTCACTTTTGATCAATTTAATGCATCCTTGCTGAATAAAATATTAATTTCTTTAAAACAATCTTACCCGTAACTTTTGAACGGAAATGTTTTTTTTTTTTAAACACAACAAGATTTAACACAAGTTTTTGTCTGTCAAAAAATTATTGGAGATGATGGATTCTCAAGTCCAACAAAATTATGCACATTAAGCATGTAAATTCAATAATTTCTGACTTCATGTTGACTTTACGTATCGATTTTTACTCTAAACCCATTTCTCCAGAAGAAACAATGAGAACGAAGGGGAGATACGCTAATGCAGGAGGTCAGATAGTGAGATGCAGAAGGGATGTGGGAGACTTGAAGTGACTACTTTGCCTACATATTTGTGTGCACATTCCCATGATTCACTCTGGCAAGTGGGAGGAGCAGAGATGACTCGAGGGAGGGGCCAAAGAGGCCATAGAGTGGAGTGGGAGGGGTTTGAGGGAACGACACATGGAAATCAGCAGAGAGCACACTGAGGGTTAGGGGAAAATCTATAGTCTTTATTGGAAAATATTAGTATGAGTGGAATTGTGTGATCATAATAATAATAATAATAATAATAATAATTCCATGCAAATAAAGAGCGAAGGCAAGGCCCAACCATGCTCCATAAAGTTAACATAACAGAAGCAGCATCCAATGGGTAGATGTGTATGCTACAACACGTCAGTACAGCAGGACATGTCTACACAAAGATACATTGGAGTTTGCTGTTCAATGTTCCAAAACAAAGAAACAATCAAAATCAAGAGGAAAATAATAAACATGGTCATGCATTACAGCCTAGTACAGGAACAGAAGGCAGAGAACCACAACCAAAGAAATAGAGACATTTCGATACTAGGAGGACTTCTACAGTGCAGTTCTAGTGATCCCTGTAAAGTGGATGACATTCGCGCTCGCACAGCGCTAGGAGCGCCGCCCGGTAGCGCTAGGCTAATGCTGGCTTTGCAGCATGGGTAAATCAAATGAATGAGGGTCGGCTTGAGTGGCGGTCGGGTGCAGTGTGCCAGTCAAGAGCCATAAATACTACCGCTTTGATACTCGTTTCTGCTCGAGTCTACTCAAGTCATTTTAGTACTTCCAAGCTGAAGACGGCTGTTTTTCTTCAACAAAATACACCATTTAGGTCATCTTTAAAGGAATAGTTCACCCAAAAATTAACATTCGCTGACAATTTTCTCACCCTCAGGCCATCCAAGATCTACATGAGTTTGTTTCTTCATCAGATTTGGAGAAATGTAGCATTACATTACTTGCTCACCAACGGATCCTCTGCAGTGAATGGGTGCCGTCAGAATGAGAGTCCAAACAGCTGATAAAAACATCACAATAATCCACACCACTCCAGTTCATCAGTTAACATCTTGTGAAGCCAAAAGCTCCATATTTGTAAGAAACAAAAACCAGCAAGACATTTTTGCTTTAAAACACTGCTTTTAGCCATAATCCATAATAATGCTTTCTCCAGTGAAAAAGTCCATCCCTTGTTCTCTTCTTACATCAAAATGCACTCACGGATCTGTTTTGGCTTGTAAACGGTGCTTAATCTGTGCATATTTCTCTCCTGATTCAGACAAGACACTGGAGAAAGTCATATTATGGATAAAAGACTTGTTTAAAGATAAAATGCTTTAATAATGGATTTGTTTCTTACAAACATGCAGCTTTTCGCTTCACAAGAGGTTAATCAACGGACTGGAGTGGATTACTTATTGTGATGGTTTTTATCAGCTGTTTAGACTCTCATTCTGACGGCACCCATTCACTGCAGAGGATCCATTGCTGAGCAAGTGATGCAATGCTACATTTCTCCAAATCTGATGAAGCAGCAAACTCATCTATGGGATGTCCTGAGGGTGAGGACATTTTCAACAAATTTTCATTTTTGGGTGAACTATTCGTTTAACATGGTCACATCGAATAGCAAAATATTTCACACGTGAGCAGTATGCTCTTCTAAAACGTGCTTTATGTCAACCATAACAGTCTTGAAATAGTAGCTTTTCTATGGTTTCCATGCGTTACTCTTTCAGGATTAATAAAGCTCAATATATACTTCCTTTAAAGATAATACCACATTATATACTTGACTTTATATATGAAGTCACTCACTCTCATGTCATTCTATACCCATATGCTGTCAAAAGCCTTTTCATATCTTTGCTACAGCTGTTTTCTTTTAAACAGCCATATTATAGTGACCAAAAACTCCAAAATCTTGTGTGAAGAACTTGCATTCAGTTCCATACAAGAACCACTTGCATTTTTGGCCTTCAAAACCACTGAACGCAAATGAGATTTCAGAGTTTCTGCGGAGAAGATAATTAGTGAATAATAACCTAAATTTCACTTGTAAGACGTCAGAAGACTTGAAATATAGTGTACGAGCCACTTAATCCAGGGTTATGAACGTTCACTAAAACCATTTTTGTTAGTTAAGAAAGCTAAATCATATAGAATAATAATAATATTAGATGAAAAACTTTTTTACCAAAACAAATAACAGCATATGGGTGTCGAACGACATAAAGGTGAGCAAATATTGACAATTTCTTTTTCTGCAAACTATCCCACCGGCACAGCGCACCTTCCCGGAAGACAAGACGGAGACAGTGTTTAGGGGTCGATCAAGCCCGGCTATGATCGAGTGAGAGGCCAACGCATCCACTTGACAGAAATTTACAGCAAAAATGTTGGTCTATCCACACTGAGTATGGGACAAATCACAATGACAGTCGTAAAAAAAGCTAAATGCTACAATGAGTTGTTATTTTCGTCAAAGCAACAATGACCATTTAAAAATAAGACGACAAGAGGATTCTTCTAGAGAAGAGAGAGTGTTATTCTGCAGTCGGTTACACAGGAGGATATACTGGATGAGTGAGAGTTTGTTTGTAATGTCGTCTTCAGATGGAAAGAGAGGGAATGAGAAGAGGGAGTCACAACACAGCTAGATGCAGGGCAGGCAGAGGCTATAGCACAGCAGCGGCGGGTGATCGTTAGATACACAATGGAAGGGAACAGAGCTCTGAAAAAATGCGGTATGTAGAATCAGCCCCCAGACTATGGAACAAGGAAAAAAATAGAAACAAATACAAGCACAATCAATGAAACCATCGGTGCTAGAGCATGGCTACAAAATGCACCTCAAATTATTACTATTATTATTGCACAATTGCACACATACATCAATGCATTTGTTTTTCTGCTGGTGACAGTAAAAATCATACACTAACATATTTAATAATATAGATTTTAATACAGATCCTGGTGCAGTATGGCTACAAAATGCACCTCAAATTACTATAATTCTTATTATTGTTGCACACACATAATCTTCTGCTGGTTACACTAAAATGCATACTACTATATTTAATTGCACACATTTTATACTCATTTCTCGTATTGATGCATTTGTTTATCTGCTGGTGCTAATGTGCGACAGCAAAATGCATATACAACTAGAATTAATTGCACACATTTTATGTACATATTTCACATATTGATGCACTTGTTTTTCTGCTGGTGCTAAAGGGTGACAGTAAAATGTGTATACTATTAAATTATTTAATTGCACACATTTTAAAAACTCATGCTGGTGTAGTAGAGCTACAAAATGCACCTCATTTTACTATTATTATTTATTGCACAAATGCACACATATATTAATGCATTTGTTTTTTCTGCTGGTGACAGTAAAATGCATATACCACGATTATTTGCACATTTTATATACAGATTCTGGTGCAACATGGCTACAAAAATGCATCTCATTGCATTATCATTTTACAATTTTACATGTATGGATGCATCTGATTTTCTGTTGGCGTCAACAAAATGCATAACAAACCACTATAATTATTTAACTGCACATTTTATATATATGAATGTATCTGGTTAAGCATGGCTATAAAATGCAAAACATGAATACCGGTGCAGAACGGTTAAAAATTGTGAATTTCTGCTATTATTGTTATTATTGACGTGCACAAATACTGTACATGGATGCACCTTTTTTCCTGTCCAGACATGGCTGGCTACGGTGGGATTTAAGATCCAGGTGTTTTGTTCTCCGTTACAGCAGAATTAAACACTTCGTGCTGCGATCGATGATTAGACATTAAAACGATCCAAATGTTCCATGCATTCGTGTTGTAAAAGCTGAAATTGCGAGCAGGTTCAGCTGAGGATATTTCGTGGCACTGCAGCTGTCCATCTGCTGAAGCCATGTTTAATTATTCATAAACAAAACCGCACACGGCGGAACGGATGTGAGGGAATTTAACGGGTCGTAACGCGTTATATACACTGCAAAGAGCTAAAACGCGACTTTGTTGCTTTATAATACGAAGGTTCGCGTTCGTCGCATCGCGTTGAAAGCTTGTATCAATTGCGTTTTAATTTGACGCGCCCCACTGAGGAGCTGTGCGCAAGACAAATACTTGAATACGCGCTGAGGTATTTCTATATTAAAGCCTACATATGCTTCTGACACAAAGGACGACGCTAAGGAACGTGCTACGCGTTTTCCAAATTGTGACCCGATAACGATTTATCCAGTGAATTAAAACACACTCGCTTTCTGGTATATCAATATGATGGATATTTTCTTTAACGTTACGGCACTGAGCGAATCGCTCCGTGTTTGTGTTGTTAAATACGCGACGCTCCGCCAGGCCAGCAGCCTTTGATCACATCTGCGCGTTTCTCAAACACGCGTGAAAAAAGACGCGAGCGCGTGCGACAGTAAATAAGGCACAATTACCTCTACTTCTGACCGAGCCGAAGACGGGAAGAACCAGATATCCGACGTGCACTAACACCATCCTGGCTCCTTTGTTGCTGTGCTGCCCATGGACACCTTCGCCTTCCAATACGAGACCATTCAAAATGCAGCCCAGACGCCAGCTGCACGCACACAAAGAGAACGGCAGCCAATCAGCGAGCCCTACGCCGCTTCCTGTGGCTCCGGCCTCAGCCAATCAGAGCGCTCGGCACGGCGGCGAGTCTTTTGTGAATTAGCTGTAGGGGGGAGTTGACGTACTGGACGCGGCGGAAACGCGCAGCTACCAAAACGCGTCAAGATTGGTAAACTATGACGTCAGCGTGCAAATACATTTGGAAACATATATAAATAATAATAAAAAAACTGCATTACGAAGTTAGTCGAGGCTATGTAATCAGTCTATTTTTTGTTCAAGAAATGTTCTGTTATATGTGTCCTATTCACAGCTCCTGTGACATGTTGATCCTTACCATAAATAAATACATAAAAAGGCTTTAATTAGGGATTTGAATAAACACACTAACCCTAAATATTATCCATATTTTTATTTTACCTGGCAGACAATAAAAAGGCCGAAAATCTGACTGAATGAATTACAATGAAGGATTCTAGAGACTTTTGGCAAAACAACTTAGATTTTTTAAAAACTCATACACTCTTAAAAATTAAGGTTCCAAAAGGGTTTTTCGCAGTGATGTCACAGAAGAACCATTTTTGGTTCTCTAAAGAACCTTTCACGTTCTTAAAAGGACAATTGTCCTAGTGTGAAGAACATTTTAATAATCTAAAGAACCTTTTGTGGAATGGAAAGATTCCATAGATGTTAAAGCTTCTTCATGGAACCATAAATACCAGTAAAGAACCTTTATTTTTAAGACTGTATCATGAAGTGTGAGGTAACTGCTGTCAACACGCATGACAGTTTCAGATTTGATGTTTGTATATGTTTAGGCCACCAGAAACATGATCAACCTGTTGTTTTGTGTTTAAAAAAATATTTTTTGATAGAAAGCACGAGCAAATCATAGTCAGACGGACACGGCCTGTTGTCCATAAAGGAGGCTGGTTGATTTGAAAGACTAAACACTCCATATGTCATTCCTTACCCGTCCTGAACCCCTTCCCCCAAACACACACACACACACACACACACACACACACACACACTGTGATTATCTCTGCTCCTTCTGTTCATACTTCTCACCACGACCCCTGTGAAGACCCTCAGCCTCTCGCTCTGCTCCTCCAATTATAAAATAACATCTCATTCAACATCAATTACGCTGCTTGTTATGAAGAAACATTTCTCTTACAGTCACTAGTTAAAAGTAAGTTACTTGACTTCCGCCCAATATAAACAGAATCAAAAACAGTCTATTGTTTAATTAAAAGAACTTAACATTGAACCATGTGCAAATCCATGACCTTATCAATTCAAACTGCAGTTTAATGTGATCATAGCGACAGCTTGTAAAAGTGAACAGACCAAATGAATAGCAGCTTTAAAAGAGATAGTATAACTCTCAATGTCCTGTTTATGTGAGTGAAGTGAATTAATCTCTCTAGTGTTACATACATTATAAACAAGAACAAACATTTAAAAACTAAAAGTCAATGAAAATAGCAACTTTCGGTCAAAAGCATTCAGAAGCTTTATGGTGTCAACAAAATGAAGCACAATTATTCTAATCGAATGAACAAAATAAAGTTCAAAATATGTTTAACTTGATGTCACACTGTAGGAAATGCCAATTACCCACAAAAAAGGTATGCATATACATTACCATTCCATACCAAACCAAAAATTTGAGGTCAGTAAGATTTTTTTTGGCTTGAATTAACATTAAATTGATCAAAAGTGACTGAAAAGACATTTATAATGTTACAAAAGACACTGAAGACTGGAGTAATGATGCTGAAAATTCTGCTTTGCATCACAGAAATAAATTACATTTTAAAATAAATTCAAATAGAAAATACTGAAGAAACAAAGTCAACTACATCTTGGATGCCCTGGGGGTAAGCAGATAAACATCACATTTTCATTTTTGGGTGAACTATCCCTTTAAGTCTCTTATAATATCTTGACTCAAAATAGCAGAGCTGAATGCATACCATCAAACTTTTTCTGAAGTAAAGTCAGCAGACACATGAGCTCACATTAGCATACAGCTGCGGGTGTCTGGATGAGGGAAAACTCCTGTTTCTTTGTCATTAGGGATGAACAGAGCCTCTTGTGGCAGCTGCCTAGCTGTGACCCCCGGGGGTCAGAGGTCACCGGCTGCCTTCTCACACTGCAGTCTGTATTATACAAAGTTTGGCTGTTCTCTGTTACACTCAATCATTCACAAGTGTAACACAAGTTTGTTAACTCATTTTAATAATAATAAAAACACACAAGAAATCACAATTGTACTCTTTAAATATCTCTATTTATTTATCTTAAAATAGTTTTATTTCTTCTACATAAATGTTTAAAGGAAGAAAGACTTGCGGAAGCAAAACATATGAACACTCTTTTGCTGTTAATTTAAAATACTGTCAAAATGAAATGAACAAAAATAGAGCAACATGATTAAATTAAAGGGGAGGTGTTTTTCAAATGCAGGGGAAACCTAATAAAAACCCAAACCCCTCAAGTCACGTGACTATATTGTGTTCAGTCGCACAGGTCTGTCCCTCTGTTCTCTGGATGTTGGATTATTGCTGTTTTAGGATTCTTAAATCGGTCTCGAATGACAAAACATTCCAGCAGGAAACACAAGTCACATGATTGGAGACAAAACACAGGCGAGGAGGATGATGATGTCCTCATAATGCTGTTCAGGTGCACCAGCACAATGCTATGAAATCTGAAACATAACATTTAGAAATGCTAAGAAATAAAGAGCCAGGTATGCTGCACGGTGAGAACATTTGACAACATCAGGAATAGTTCAAATGTCATCTTTTACGCACTTCTATGTTCCAAACCCGTACAACTTCATTCATGGAGAACAAAAAGAGAGAATTTAGTAGAATCACAATGTTCTCTTCCTTAGAAGGAAAGTTAATGGGATCTAATGCTGCTGAGCTCCAAAAACGTCAATCTTCTAAAGCATTTCATTACACAAAAATGTAATTAAATACACTTCGGGGGAAAATATGTTTGAAAGACGTCTCTCCTGCTCATCAAGGCTGCATTTATTTGATCAAAAATACAGCAAAATCAGTAATATGATGAAATATTATTACTATTTAAAATAACTGTTTTCTATTTGAATATATTCTAAAATGTAATTTATTCCTGTGATGTAAAGCTGAATTTTCAGCATCATTCCTCCAGTCTTCAGTGTCACATGATCCTTCAGAAATCATTCTAATATGCTGATCTGCTGCTCAAGAAACATTTTTGATTATTATCAATGTTGAAAACAGTTGTGCAGCTTCATATTTTTGCGGATCTTTTTTTTTTCAGGATTCTTTGTTGAATAGAAAGTTCAAAAGAACATAATTTATTTGAAATAGAAATCTTTTGTAACATTATAAATCTCTTTGCTGTCACTTTCAATCAATTTAATGCAGCCCTTGAACAGTACTGTATATAGGCCATATGTATGAATATGCAAAAGTGAAAATGAGATTTGAGAGCTCCGGTTAAGAATATTTTCATTAAATAATGCCTTAAATTTGGAACAAAATGCACAAGTTGCATGAACTAGTTTAGTAGTGGTTTAATGTCACTTTTGGAGACTTACAGCATCTGTCCCCACTGATTTAGTAAATTCTACTAAACATCTTTAGTGTTCCACAGCAGAAAGTCTGTCGTACAGGTTTAGAACCACACGAGAGCGATTAAATGATGATTATTTTAGTTTCTATGTGAACTATCCCTTTAAAGCATCAGCTCCGAATGCATCTCTTTCATCCCGGAGAGTGCAGGACTGTCTCTGTGCTCTTTGCTAACACAGAAAGGGCAGATACGACACAGTCTGGGAATCCTTTGTTTTGGTGATTTCAAATATCAACATTGACTACCAGAAATCACTTACTCTGCCTTTAACTCTGAAAGGACTTCCTTTCCTTCACAAAAGCAGCCTGAACATGAGACAGCAGCTGGGATCCAGCAACTGCCGTCACTATTGAGGGCAGAGAAGACAAAGTCTGAGAGTTTGAGAATGGAAATTGCTTGTGTTTGAATTTTTTTTAAATCTCAGATGACATGAGAGCTAGTAAAAGAAGAGAATTTTAAATTTTTGAATGAACCATCCCTTTAAATTTCTCTGCTACTATCAGTTTTCCTGCTTTGGAACTTCATTTTCCCTTTTTCAATAAGCTGTTATTCACCTCCTGTGATTGACAGAGGCAAAGGTCCAATCAGACTCTCAGAGGGGCGGGTCACAGTTTAAGGCGGGGCTAAGTGAGCCAAAATGGCCAGCTTGGGCGATACACAAGCTGAATAATTCACATTCAGGTAGTGAGTGCTCCTCACACACAGTGGTCTGACAAGTGACAATCGTGAGGAAGAAAAACAAAAGGAAACCTTTCTCTACATCTGATGGTAAACAGACTGAATATATTGCCAAGACTCAAAGTTAAAGAGACGGTGTACCCAGAAATGAACATTTTGTCATTATTTAGTCACCTTAATGTAATGACTTCTCTTCTGAGAAACACCAAAGGAGATGTTCTGAAGAATGTTCATGTTGCTCTTTGCCATATAATGAAAGCATAGTGACTTCCAATCTCCATAAATGACAATAAAGCACCATAAAACTAGTCCATATGACTTTTATGCAGCTTACTTTTAATGGAAAAAATCAGCATGAATATTCTTTAGATCATCTTCTGTTTTCTAAAGCAGAAAGTAAGTCATATGGGTTTAAAAAGACATGAGTGTGAACAAATGATGACAGTTTTCATTTATTGGGTGAACCATCCCTTTAATACGCAGTTTTCAAGATTCATATTGCTCTTCGAACAAATGATTCATATATGTAACATCAAGTAAAACACAGCAAATATCAATAAATAGCTTCAGTGGTGTCTGGGATAGCATGATGCAACCATAGAAACATGTATATAAAACAAAAGTTGTTGTTAAACTGCTTAAAAATGCAAATTAGACCCCATTTAGAACAAAAATCACTGTTTTTTCTCATCACACATTGATTGTATTCACAAC